GAACTTGCCTTTTTTGGGACAAGACATATATCTAGTTAGTGAGCGACAATCAATTTCACATTGAATGATGTTATCAGCACGAATAAAACTTTGCTTGGGAGAAAATCAGCACGAAGAGAGCTTATGGTGGTCGGTGTCAAAATCAAGACTTTCGCTACAAAAGACAGGTCGATGTGATGATTCTGAGAAGTGCTAAGGTGTGTTTGTTTACAAATTTTCTCAATTCATATTCAAAATCAAACTAAACTTTAACCCAACCCAACTATCCTCAATATTATCAAAGAATTAAATACTATGAATCAATCATTATTACACATCACATCAATTTTAATTCATTATTCATACACTCATGTAATTTTAACTAATCATCACTTCATATCATATTTCTCATACTTTTACATCAAATTAACTTTAATTATTTTATTTTAAATATTATTTTTATATAAATTCAAAATCTCACTAACAACTAACCATACCATATTTTTCAAAATTAACTCTGTTTAATCGAAAATATTTATCTCCAAACAAGCCCTAAGAGAAATTGGCATGAGGCATTAACAGTGTTCCACATCAACGTTATAATGAGTTGACTTGATCATTAATTCAGACCCACAAACATCATACATAACATTAAACATTCATATCAACAACTCAACAAGAGCAACCAAATAGGAGTCAAACCTGCAATTACTCCTCGAGCAAACAATCAACTTCACAATAACCTTAAAAACATATAAAAAATAATCATAAATCTCTAATCCCCATAGAACAAGGTGATCTTCAAATAGACAAATATTGTTCTCACAAAATCTCCATGTGAGGCATTAAAAATCATATGAAAGACAAAAGCAAACGACAAACACTTTATTAAACCCTCAAAACCACAACGGTCTTGGATTATTCACCACGAGGTATCCGTGACCAAACACAAAAACTCAAAACATCACAAGAAAAACAATCATCCTAAACACAAGTTGAGAGTTCCCACAAAAGATCAAGAAATAATATTTCCTTTCAATGAGAAGATATCTTCAGATTGAGAGATTTATTAAACCAAGCCCTCCAACTTCCAGACCCTTTCCTATTAATTGCAATGGGAGCAGATGATTTGACACTGCCACCAATGGAGTTTTCTGTTTGAGGCTTCTTGCAGAGCATGAAATTGCGCAGACCAAATGACCCAATTGTCTCCCATGGACTAAGCGCTGCATTTCACAAATACATAAAGAATAACATAAATACATGATTACAATAATTGAGCACAACCAAAACAAATTCAAGAAACTAGACTTTATGGTACTTAAAATGAAAATTGGAATTAAATCAGCCTATGAAGAGGATTATGCAGTTCACCTAATTAATCATAATGCATAATAAAGCAACAACCTGCAGATATTGACTACCCAACTACAGAACAAGAATTCATTCATCCAACGAGAATTAAATCAACATCAATTTTCACCATTATTCTAAATAAATAATTGAAAAAAAATAAAAAAAATTGGCCAGATGGAAACTACCTTCAGTTCCAGAAACAGGGCAATACAAGATAAAATTGTTGAGATCTGATCCGAGAATAGGAAGCCTCCCTTCGCGCGCATACGATTTCAAAGCAGTATCAATCACCGCAGCCACAACCTCGTCCTCGTTAACCACGAATCTAATAGGCCCGGCACTCCCCAGAACAGTAACGCTAATCAAAAACCTGTTTCCCTTCAAGGGCTGATTCTTCTTCTGCTTCAGCAACATTTTTTTTTTCTCCGATTTTCCTTTTTTTCGATTTATTTTCTTCTTTTTCAAACGAGACAGGGCAAAAAAATTCGAAATTGAAAGCAAAAACGCAATCAAGTAATTCAAAATCAAGAAAATTGCAATAACAATCGGGAAAATTACGATCGATTGGTTCACGGGTCGAGGCCTAGGCAGCGGTAGTACCAGCCCACCATGCACGAGCCGAAGCAGAACGAGTGGGCGACCAAAATCGAAATCCCCCTTCTTGAAGAAGAAGAAGGGATGACCATTAATTTCGCGCTTGAAATTTCCACCATTCACAAAGGAATCGTTTTGTTTTTCAGACAATTGAGGACGAACAGGAAAAAAGGGAATTTGCAGAGGAAAAGAAAATCGCAAATCTGGTAGACGAGCGGCGGAAAGGAATTAGGGATTAGAACGCAAGAACAAAACCTTTTTGGGGACGGATTGATGTGAAAAAAGGGAGAGAAAGAGACGTGATTTTATAGATCTCTTATGTGTGTTAAAATTTAGGGTTAGGGCTGTGAAATTTTGTAATATGAATGTGATTTATTTCCTTGCCTTGTCGTATTCGGTTACATTTTAAAAGGGATTGATATTCTGCACGCTAAGCTGGAATTTATTGAGGAAGAAAAAGGAATCTGTTGTGGAACGACGCCGTCCCACTAAGGATAAAAATAGAAATTAAGGAAGATTGAGGTTGAAATAATTACCCTAAATAATGAGCAAACGGGTCTATCTAATTAGTAACATAGTTTTTTTATTGAGTTTAGTTCGATGAATATATATAAAGGTTAATTCTTCAAAACTCCCCAATGCACAATTCAACTCATTGTCAGTCCCCACCACATTTAAACTTCCTCTTAACTCCCTAAATCTAATTTCTCTTTCCAAATCACTCCCCATATATATACTACTCTTATTATTATTCATTTATTTTTCTCTAAAATCATAAAAAGTTCTCGTCTCTCTCTTAACATCTTCCTCAGCTCTCTCTCTCTTCCCGTCTCTCTCTCGCCGTCTTTGTTTATGAAAATTCCATCGCTCTCGCCTCCCTTTCTATCTTTTTTTTTTCGTAGGACGTTCGTCTCCAATTGAAAATTTCATCGCCATCGCATATCATCTCTCTTTCTCTTCGGGAAACCCTCCGTCTCCGACCAAAAATCCATGAACACAATGACAGGGTCGAAAAAGAAATCCATATCGGATAAACCATCTTCCTCTTCTAAAGCCGTAAGCAAGGTGAGATTCTTTTACAAAATATTTGATTCTATTGAACTCGAAAATTTGGGAATTTTTTTACAAAATTTTGATTTTTCTCTTGAATTCGATGTTTTTCAAAATTTGGGATTTTTGTTGATGGGATTTTATTGCTAAATTAGGCACCGCTGAAGATTCCAAGTTCATCGAGGCCTGGAAGAAAGTGATGCCGAATATGGATCCACCGAAAACCCCCTCGGCCTACATGGCTCCTCGCCCGCCGACCCCATCCACAATCCCTTCAAAGCTGACCGTCAATTTCGTTCTTTCGTACAATTCCGTGTTGTCCGGCAAAGAGGTTCGCTCTCACATACTCGCAACCCTTGAGATCATTTTTCTTTTTTCTTTTTTTTTTCGTTTTTTTTTATTTTCATTGTATAATTTACATTTCGTATTTCTGTTGCTGTGTCTTATTTGAATGTATAAAATTGATATTGCTCTTGTTCGGAGTTCTTTTAAGAAGCAAATTTGGTCTCTTGTTTCTGAACTTTTTATATTTGTCAAATTTTTGGTGTGGTATATATTATCTTGTAGTGGACGAAGTTCTATTCATCTTTTAGTGGCCAGAAAAAGTCTAGTGTTTAGATGAATTTTAAGGAGAACTTGAGTCATGCAATCACAATTTGTCGTTGATTTCTCTCTGAACCAAAACACTACAGTTCCAGAAGTTCTAAGCTGCTAAAGTTTGTATAAGTGCATCTAAGATATATTGGTATTGATCAACTCTTGGTTAATTTTCCATAATTTATCTTAAAAGTTGTATTAACTAACCAGTGTCATGGTTAACTACTCAGAATTATTCTCTAGTCCTGTGTTATTCTTGGCTGGCATTGCACAACAACTTTTAGAACTTGGAAGCACCATAAGCTCATTAATGGTTGATTTTTTATATCAATCAGAACCTTAAGGAACATTCTATTAGGACCTATCAAGCTGCTGTAAATTATTCAGATACTTGAAATTTCATCTTTTAAATTTCAATTGTGGCTCTGGTGCTGCCTAGTTTGTTTTTGAAGGATGCAACTCATTTTTATTTTTCCTCTAAAATTTGATAAAAGCGTTGCATTTTTCATAGTTCCAATAACTTCTGCTTATGCTTGATCTGAAGTTACTGATGTGTCTTTTCAGGTTGATATGGTCATTATCCCTGCAACTACTGGACATATGGGTGTCTATTAGCTTGTTGTATTTAAGCTACACAGGCTAATAAATATGAAGAGGATTTATGTTGTGATCTCATACTATCATATTGTTTTGTTGTATTTAAGCTACAGACTTTCTCGTCTTGTAGGCCTCACTCTGAATTCAAGTGAATAGTTGTTTCGATCGATTAGTTAGCCGCTTGTAATTATGTGTTTTAATAGAATATGTCGTTCTGAAAAATAAAAAATAAAAAATCGATGTCTTTCAAAATTTGGGATTTTTGTTGATGTTTTAGTACCAGATATCGAGTCTTTAGTACCAGATATCGGGTTTTTAGTACCACTTGTATTGAACACATAAAAAGACCAAATTTCGGTCTCAAATAATGTTTATACGACCCATGATCACTCTCACATTAGTTTATATGAGATTCTAAATGTTTTAATTGAGTTTAATCACAAATTGGTCATGAACTCGACACACTAATGAAAAAACACTACTTAATACACTTCATCTCATTGAATGGTACCAGTTTTGACGGAAATAATACCGCATCTTCTTCTACGTGGTACCTGTTTTTGATCGATTAGTACCTACGTTTGGTCAACCAAAATAAATTATTTCAATTTTGGTCAACATTTACAAAAAGTAATACCAGACCTAGAGTATGATAGTACCACTTTATGGTGTTTTAGTACCTGATATTGGATCTTTAGTACCACTCGTTGAACACATAAAAACATCGAATTTCGGTCGCAAATGATGTTTATATGATCTATAATCACTCTCACATTAGTTTATATGAGATTTAAAATATTTTTAATTGAGTTTAATCGCAAATTGGTCATGAACTCAACACACTAATGAGAAAACACTACTACTACACTTCATTTCATTGAATGACACACTTCATCTCATAGAATCATCATACACGACTACTCCAAATTTTACGTATATATTTTAACTTCCACTTTTTTTAATCCAAATCATGCGTCAACGATCCACGTGTCATAGTAGACATGAAGGATTAGAGAAATCACGATTCTGAAAATAGTACCTGTTTTAGCAAAAATAATACCGCATCTTCTTCTACGTGGTACCTGTTTTTAATCGATTAGTACCTACTTTTGGTCAACCAAAATGGATTATCTCAATTTCGGTCAACATTTACAAAACGTAGTACCAGACCTAGAGAATGATAGTACCACTTTATGGTGTTTTAGTACCTGATATTGGGTCTTTAGTATTACTCGTAATGATCACATAAAAACATAGAATTTTGGTCGCAAATGATGTTTATATGATTTATAATCACTCTCACATTAGTTTATATGAGATTTAAAATGTTTTTAATTGAGTTTAATCGCAAATTGGTCATGAACTCAACACACTAATGAGAAAACACTACTACTACACATCATTTCATTGAATGACACACTTCATCTCATAGAATCATCATACATGACTACACCAAATTCTACGTATATGTTATAACTTCCACTTTTTTTAATCCAAATCATGCGTGAACGATCCACGTGTCATGGTAGACATGAAGGATTAGAGAAATCACGATTCTGAAAATAGTACCTGTTTTAGCAAAAATAATACCGCATCTTCTTCTACGTGGTACCTGTTTTTGATCGATTAGTACCTACTTTTGGTCAACCAAAATAGATTATCTCAATTTTGGTCAACATTTACAAAACGTAGTGCCAGACCTAGATTATGGCAGTACCACTTTATGACGTGTTAGTACTAGATATCGTGTCTCTAGTACCACTTGTAATGAACACATAAGAAGACCTAATTTCGATCGCAAATGATGTTTATACAAACCATAATCACTCTCATATTAGTTTATATAAGATTTTAAATGTGTTTTGTTGAGTTTAATCGCAAATTGGTCATGAACTCGATACACTAATGAGAAAACACTACTACTAGACTTCATTTCATTGAATGACACACTTCATCTCATAAGTTCATCATACATGACTACTCCAAATTCTACTTACATATTTTCACTTCCACTTTTTTTCATCCAAATCACGTGTGAACGATCCACATGTCATGGTAGACATGAAAGATTAGAGAAATCACGATTCTGAAAATAGTACCTGTTTTAGCCAAAATAGTACCGCATTTTCTTCTATGTGGTACCTAATTTTGATCGATTAGTACCTACTTTTGTAAGGAAAAATTGATTATTTCAATTGTGGTCAACATTTACAAAAAGTAGTACCAGTCATAGTGTAAACCAGTACCACTATTTGGAGTGTTAGTACCAGATATTGTGTCTCTAGTACCACTTGTAATGAACACATAAGAAGACCGAATTTCGGTCGCAAATGGTGTTTATACGACCCATAATCACTCTCACATTAGTTTTACATAAGATTTTAAATATTTTTTATTGAGTTTAATCGCAAATTGGTCATGATCTCGATACACTAATGAGAAAACACTACTACTAGACTTCATTTCATTGAATGATACACTTCATCTCATAGAAATCATCATAAATGACTACTCCAAATTCTACCTATATGTTTTCAATTTCACTTTTTTCATCCAAATCACGTGTGAACGACCCACGTGTCATGGTAGACATGAAGGATTAGAGAAATCGCGATTCTGGTAATAGTACCAGTTCTGGGTAACATAGTACCGCATCTTATTCTGCGTGGTACCTGATGTTGATCGAATAGTACCTACTTTTTTGAAGAAAAATTGATTATTTCAATTCTGCTCAACATTTACAAAAAGTAGTACCAGTCATAGTGTAAGTCAGTATCACATTATGGGGAGTTAGTACCAGATATCCTGTCCCTAGTACCATTTGTAATGAACACATAAGAAGACCGAATTTCGGTCGCCAATGATGTTTATACGACCCATGATCACTCTGACATTAGTTTATATAAGATTTTAAATGTTTTTGATTGAGTTTAATTGCAAATTGGTCATGAACTCGATACACCAATGAGAAAACACTACTACTAGACTTCATTGCATTGAATGACACACTTCATCTCATAGTAATCATAATACACGACTTCTCCAAATTCTACCTATATGTTTTCAATTCCTCTTTTTTTCATCTAAATCACGTGTGAACAATCCACGTGTCATGGTAGACATGAAGGATTAAAGAAAATCGCGTTTCTGATAAAAGTACCGATTTTGGGAAACATAGTACCACATATATTCTGCGTGGTACCTGATGTTGATCGAATAGTACCTACTTTTTTTAAGAAAAATTGATTATTTCAATTCTGCTCAACATTTACAAAACGTAGTACCAGTCATAGTGTAAGGCATTACTACATTATGGCGATGTAGTACCAGATATCCTGTCCCTAGTACCACTTGTAATGAACACATAAGAAGACCGAATTTCGATCGCAAATGATGTTTATACGACCCATAATCACTCTGACATTAGATTATATGAGATTTGATATTTGGTTAATTAAGTATAATCACAAATTTGTCACGAACTCAACACACTAATGGAAAAACACCTTAAATACACTTCAACTCATTGAATGGTACCAATTTCTACGGAAATAATAAGTCTTTTTCTTCTATGTAGTACCTGTTATTGATCGATTAGTACTAACTTTTGTGAAGAAAAATTGATTATTTCAATTCTGCTCAACATTTATAAAGTAGTACCAGTCATAGTATAATGCAGTACCACTTTATGGTGCGATAGTACCAGATATCATGTCCCTAGTACCACTTGTAATTAACACATAAGAAGACCGAATTTCGGTCGCAAATGATGTTTATACGACCCATAATCACTCTCACATTAGTTTTTATGATATTTAATATTTGGTTAATTAAGTTTAATCGTAAATTGGTCACGAACTCAACACACTAAAGGGAAAACACTACTTAATACACTTCAACTCATTGACTGGTACCAGTTTTGACGGATATAATACCGCTTTTTATTCTACGAAGTACTTGTTATTGATCAATTAGTACCAGCTTTCTGAAATGAAAATGTAATACACCGATAAAAACTTCACAAACTATTACATATATCGCAGTATAAAATGCCAGTATATTGTACAAAAAATATCTCATAAAGTGTCATTCACTACCCACTCTTTGAAATGAAAATGGGTACACAAGTATGGACGAGATTGCATTTCCAAATGGCAAATTGCTGATCCCCTTTGTATAACGATGCATATACTCTCCATTCACAATCCGCATCGCAACAACAAATGATGACCTTCTGCTTGTCATTTTTCCGATACTTAAAAGACCGCTTGTTTGCAATCACGTAGTTTTTGACATTCTTTCGAAATTCGTCTGCCCCACTGAATATCTACCCCTCTCCTTTGATGCAAGATCTCCAAGAATCGATCGATTTATCTTGCAACAACTCATCTTCTCCCTCCGGGAAATCATTAGACTGTACGTTTTCCCTGCGTTCATGACAAAATAATACAAAAATTTATAAATAATGGAACTAGTTAAAAAATTAATGAACTAGGATATGATACGACTATACCATATTTCAATAATAAATTCATTAATATTATGAAAGCAACATTACTTGTTCATGTTCATCGGGAAGGATTGAACTCCATCATCCGGTCTTTCATTTCTTTCCATGGAAATTATCTTTATAATATTTAATATCCAACACATGTAACCGAATCATGTTCTTCACATCCTCATCATCCAACAAACTAACTCTCTTTTTTTCTTTTGGCACAATATAGCATAGCACGACGGATTCGAAATTAACAAAAACATTCGGCCACCTCTTTGATATGAGAGTGTACACTTTGTCAAGCGTTGATCCAATGTGCATAGAGAACACAAACAATTCGTTCTTGTACGTACAACTCCCTAGTATATCACTTCGTGCCCCTTCCATGTATCTAACAATAATTAGATAAAATAAATGTAGCTAACAATATTTGGATAAATAAAAAAAACTTCACATTCCCAGGAAAATATGGTACAAAACAGTATTAAAGTGGTACTATATACATGCAAACAGAGGTACA